AAGTGACACTTGTGCTATATGTATCAAAGTGCTAACATTTATAAAATAAAGTGAGACATAGTATATTAAAGTGATACTTAGTGCTGTTTATGTACATTAAAGTGCTAAAAATGCTGTGTTATGTACATTAAAGTGCTAGCATGTTACTTAAAGTGCCACTAATTTATTAAAGTGATACACGTGTAGTTTATATACATCAAAGTGCTACATGTGCTATTATTATGTACTATTTATTGGTCACCGAAGTATTACTCTCTTTGTTGCTACTATCAACTACCTAATTACTATACTTCAGTGATCTTCCAACATATTATATACTTTCAAAAGAATATATATTATAATATTATGTACAAAAATATAAGGATAATAAATCTGCTAGTGTCTTATATATACATTATTTACATAAAGCGTCATTGTGAATTCTATTGTATATCGTACCTATATATTAACTTAATTTGTCCTATCAATGAGTTATATTACACTACAACAGTGCACATCCAAAAAATCTGATCAAGTCTATACCTAAAGCTCAGTTTCTTAGAGTCATGAGAAATAATTCAAAGGAAACAACTAAACGAATACAATTACAAGAAATGAAAATGAAATTTCTAGATAGAGGGTATAGTGAAAGAGTCTTAGATAAAGCGTTGGAAGAAGCAGAAGAGAATGCGACCACGCTACAAGACATCACAGAAGTCCCCAAATTGATTTTTCCCATGACATTCTACAGTAAAACACAGAAAATAAACAGCATTGTGAAACGTAATTGGAATATGTTGGCATGTGATAATAGTTTGCCAAAAGAATTTAAGCAATCACCACGCATTTGCTATCGAAGAAACAGAAATTTAAAAGATATATTAATGAAGACAGATCCTGTGGAGAGCTACACTGAACAGAAGATAACACAAGTAAGAGGCAGTGTGCGCTGCCTAGGATGTGTGACGTGTAGTCATATGGTGCCAGCACGTAAGTTTAACCATCCACACAAAAATAAGATGTATAAAATCCGCCACACCATTACGTGTAAGATGACCCATGTAATATATAAAATATCGTGCCCTTGTGGCTTGTTTTACATAGGGAAAACTGAAACGCAGCTCTGTGATAGAATTAGGGGTCATAGATCCAATATAAGAACTGCCTACAGAGACGGATACACAGACAAACCTGTGGCAAAGCATTTTTTAGAATATAAACATTCTTTGACTATGTTAAAATTCGTGGCAATTGATTGGATACCTTGTTCTAGAAGAGGTGGAGATAGGGGTAATGCCCTATTGAGAAGAGAGACATTCTGGATACAAGAATTGGAAACTGTGGCTCCAAGAGGATTGAACGAGATGATATCATATCATCCATATATATGAGTAATGTTGAAATAATTGTTTGCCTCCTTTGAGTTATTAAATACATATATTTATACTAGGATTAGAGGAAAAATTTATATCAATAAAAAGGTTATATGGAGATATAATATAACGAATTAAAATATAAAATATAAAATATATAGTTGTAGATCTTATTCTATTTGCACAGATAAAGGACAGTACCTAATTATCAATTATCTATCTTAAATAATACCTCTTTGAGCAAAGAGCATTACTATAATGAATATAACTCATTGATAGGACAAATTAAGTTAATATATAGGTACGATATACAATAGAATTCACAATGACGCTTTATGTAAATTATGTATATATAAGACACTAGCAGATTTATTATCCTTATATTTTTGTACATAATATTATAATATATATTCTTTTGAAAGTATATAATATGTTGGAAGATCACTGAAGTATAGTAATTAGGTAGTTGATAGTAGCAACAAAGAGAGTAATACTTCGGTGACCAATAAATAGTACATAATAATAGCACATGTAGCACTTTGATGTATATAAACTACACGTGTATCACTTTAATAAATTAGTGGCACTTTAAGTAACATGCTAGCACTTTAATGTACATAACACAGCATTTTTAGCACTTTAATGTACATAAACAGCACTAAGTATCACTTTAATATACTATGTCTCACTTTATTTTATAAATGTTAGCACTTTGATACATATAGCACAAGTGTCACTTTAATTTACTATGTTTCACTTTAATATATAAATGTTAGCACTTTATTGTATAGATATGATATATTTAGCACTTTGAGACTATTGAAATATAGTTTATTGTCATTAATTTGTAATTGTAACTGTATAAACATCCAATAAGCGGTGCATGATAGGATGCAGATAAGATCCTAATTGTATAATTACGTCTAGATACTAGATATGGAACAGCCTTTATAATTAATGCAATGTGAGTTATAAATGAATAAGATCCCTCTAAATAGTTAAATATTGTTTGTTTAATATGTTTTTAATGTTTTGATTAGATGCAGAGTTAGTTAGACCGCCTAGGCTGACTGTGAAAAGAGCGAGGATATTGCTCGCTGCGTTGCCGTGGAGCCGGGTACACATACCGGGTATCCACGGCAACGATGACGTCAACACGCTACTTCCGGGTGGCGGGAGGATGACGCATGCGCAGAGACGGCGATAGAACGCCGTGGACGCAGTGCAGTCTCAGGTGGTAAGTGTTTTAATTATTGATTGTATAATTTGTTTTACTATATAAGTGTGTTATTTGTAAGATGTATTTTGAGCTGTTAAGATCCTGATGAAAGCCATGTAGTTTGGCTGAAACGTCGATCACATCAAGTTTTAACCTATGGAATAAAGAATAATCTTTTAAAGAGACCAGAAAAGACCGTGAGTGCTTGCCTTTTGTACCTTATATTTTTGTATATTTTTGGCATTGGCTTAATAGCACCAGGCACAATATTATTGGAGAGTGTGTGTGCAAGGATATAACAATATTTTGGACTGTATTTTGGGAGTAACTTGCCAGACTCCAATCCTTTGCACCTACTAAATATATATATTTTTTACCTGCCTAATTTGAAGCAGCAGTAATTCATTGATATTTAATCAGTAAGCGCTTACTATGGATCTAACAGATGAATTTTTATTACAAGCGGGGGGCTATGCTGAACAAGCTGAAACCCTCCAGTTCACTCAGGAGGAGGCACAAGCAATACTTTGGGTGCAATCTAGTACGGATTTGCCATATAATACTACTAGTAAGGATATATACTTTCAACTCTTAAAGCTACAGAGGAAAAGGATTGACCTAGATCTTCACGGATTATTTCTCTCAGACTACTATAAGGCTAAAAGGATCCCACGAGGATTTCGTATCATGAATATCCCTACAATTGGGAGGATGAAAGCCAAAGTTTGCCGAGATTGGATCTCAGTTTTAAACAAAGCATCTCTAGATCTTATGTTGATTATAATTCAGGATGTAAAAATGGAGTTAGAGAATATTACACGGAAAATAACAGAAGTTGAAATGGAACATGCTGTATTATTGGCGTCGCCAGAAGGTATGAAATTGCTGGACAAATTAAAGGAAGAATTATTGAAATATAAAAATGATCTTGTTAGATTTAAAAAGCAAAAACTTGAATATGTCCAACAGGACTACGTAGAGCATCGCGTCTATAAGTGGTTAAGTGGGGAACACCAAAGGAGACCAAGAAGGCCACGCAGGAAAATTATACGCCCAAAGCAACACAAAATAGATGTCACATCGGCTGAATCGGCATCCGATGCAGAGCAACAAAATGATGAAACTTTTTTAGATACAACACAAATGGGCACTATGACGAGAAGCAGAGGCAGAGGCGGCACCGGCACAGGACAAGAAGAGGCCATAAAGGGAAAATACATAGCCCGTGGGAAACCACCACTGAAAAGGTAGTGCCAGTTTTCAATCTCTCTCAACGTAAGCTGGATGAGAAAGAAATAGAGATCCTAAAATTAGGACTCTCATTTGTACCCACGGCTAGACCAAATATATTTGCATGGAACGTAGAATTATTTAATTTTGGAAGAAATCTACGACTTAAAGATTACTTCAATAAAGGGAAAACACAGCAACCAGCAAATCAATACCATAAAGCGACAGAGATTCAATTTAAACCAAAATCATACTTTGATCCACCTAACTCTAAAGCCAACATTAAAACATTTCTATCTACGGTACAAATAGAATCAACGGAAGAATTGAAACAATCTAACCACATGGAAAACAACTTGACCAAAGCACAAAGACACCTTTTGGAAAACCTAGCGAAAGATCCTTCCATCGCAATACGCCCCGCCGATAAAGGCGGGGGTATAGTCATCATGGACTATGATAAATATGCAATGGAAGTAAGAAGACAATTAATGGATGAAAAAACCTATAAGTTACTTAAGGGTGATCCCACTAGAGAGGTACAAAGAAGGGTGGAAGAGATCCTTGATATAGGACTGAGAGCTAATTATATAGATCAAAATCTCTATTTATATTTGATACAAAAGCATCCGAGGACACCTATCATGTACACAATTCCCAAGATACATAAGAATCGAACAGACCCCCCGGGACGACCCATAGTATCAGCAATAGGTGGGGTACTACAACCTATAGGGAAATGGTTAGATGCTATGTTTAAAGACACAATACATGATCTATATACATGCATTAGAGATACACCTTCATTATTGGTGGCACTTCAAAATCTATATATAGAAGAAGATTTACCCGTACTTATTACGATGGACGTCAGTAGCCTCTATACCATCATCCCGCATGATGGTGGTATAGAGGCTATGAGACAAGTCCTATGTGCTTCATTAAAATATAAAGGTCCCCCTATCGAATATACTTTGGAATTATTGGAGGTTGCATTGAAAAATAACTATTTCCGATTCGAAGAACAGTGGTACATGCAAATATCAGGGACATCTATGGGAGCGGCTATGGCGCCTATGTACGCCAACTCTTATATGTACATCTTTGAGACAGAATATATATTAGAGCCATTTAAAAGGAACATCATAAAGTATTTTCGCTTTATAGATGATATTCTGATAATCTGGCGTGGTACGAAAATGCAAGCGCAAGAAATGGTTGAGTTCATAAATCAGCTTCCAACACCGATACGGATGACGGCCAATTTGAGTACGGAAAGAGTACAATTTTTAGATGTGGAATTATCCGTGGAAGATCACAGAATGGTCTATTGTCTCTACTCTAAACCTACTGATAGAAACACCATATTACACTACAACAGTGCACATCCAAAAAATCTGATCAAGTCTATACCTAAAGCTCAGTTTCTTAGAGTCATGAGAAATAATTCAAAGGAAACAACTAAACGAATACAATTACAAGAAATGAAAATGAAATTTCTAGATAGAGGGTATAGTGAAAGAGTCTTAGATAAAGCGTTGGAAGAAGCAGAAGAGAATGCGACCACGCTACAAGACATCACAGAAGTCCCCAAATTGATTTTTCCCATGACATTCCACAGTAAAACACAGAAAATAAACAGCATTGTGAAACGTAATTGGAATATGTTGGCATGTGATAATAGTTTGCCAAAAGAATTTAAGCAATCACCACGCATTTGCTATCGAAGAAACAGAAATTTAAAAGATATATTAATGAAGACAGATCCTGTGGAGAGCTACACTGAACAGAAGATAACACAAGTAAGAGGCAGTGTGCGCTGCCTAGGATGTGTGACGTGTAGTCATATGGTGCCAGCACGTAAGTTTAACCATCCACACAAAAATAAGATGTATAAAATCCGCCACACCATTACGTGTAAGATGACCCATGTAATATATAAAATATCGTGCCCTTGTGGCTTGTTTTACATAGGGAAAACTGAAACGCAGCTCTGTGATAGAATTAGGGGTCATAGATCCAATATAAGAACTGCCTACAGAGACGGATACACAGACAAACCTGTGGCAAAGCATTTTTTAGAATATAAACATTCTTTGACTATGTTAAAATTCGTGGCAATTGATTGGATACCTTGTTCTAGAAGAGGTGGAGATAGGGGTAATGCCCTATTGAGAAGAGAGACATTCTGGATACAAGAATTGGAAACTGTGGCTCCAAGGGGATTGAACGAGATGATATCATATCATCCATATATATGAGTAATGTTGAAATAATTGTTTGCCTCCTTTGAGTTATTAAATACATATATTTTAACTAGGATTAGAGGAAAAATTTATATCAATAAAAAGGTTATATGGAGATATAATATAACGAATTAAAATATAAAATATAAAATATATAGTTGTAGATCTTATTCTATTTGCACAGATAAAGGACAGTACCTAATTATCAATTATCTATCTTAAATAATACCTCTTTGAGCAAAGAGCATTACTATAATGAATATAACTCATTGATAGGACAAATTAAGTTAATATATAGGTACGATATACAATAGAATTCACAATGACGCTTTATGTAAATAATGTATATATAAGACACTAGCAGATTTATTATCCTTATATTTTTGTACATAATATTATAATATATATTCTTTTGAAAGTATATAATATGTTGGAAGATCACTGAAGTATAGTAATTAGGTAGTTGATAGTAGCAACAAAGAGAGTAATACTTCGGTGACCAATAAATAGTACATAATAATAGCACATGTAGCACTTTGATGTATATAAACTACACGTGTATCACTTTAATAAATTAGTGGCACTTTAAGTAACATGCTAGCACTTTAATGTACATAACACAGCATTTTTAGCACTTTAATGTACATAAACAGCACTAAGTATCACTTTAATATACTATGTCTCACTTTATTTTATAAATGTTAGCACTTTGATACATATAGCACAAGTGTCACTTTAATTTACTATGTTTCACTTTAATATATAAATGTTAGCACTTTATTGTATAGATATGATATATTTAGCACTTTGAGACTATTGAAATATAGTTTATTGTCATTAATTTGTAATTGTAACTGTATAAACATCCAATAAGCGGTGCATGATAGGATGCAGATAAGATCCTAATTGTATAATTACGTCTAGATACTAGATATGGAACAGCCTTTATAATTAATGCAATGTGAGTTATAAATGAATAAGATCCCTCTAAATAGTTAAATATTGTTTGTTTAATATGTTTTTAATGTTTTGATTAGATGCAGAGTTAGTTAGACCGCCTAGGCTGACTGTGAAAAGAGCGAGGATATTGCTCGCTGCGTTGCCGTGGAGCCGGGTACACATACCGGGTATCCACGGCAACGATGACGTCAACACGCTACTTCCGGGTGGCGGGAGGATGACGCATGCGCAGAGACGGCGATAGAACGCCGTGGAAGCAGTGCAGTCTCAGGTGGTAAGTGTTTTAATTATTGATTGTATAATTTGTTTTACTATATAAGTGTGTTATTTGTAAGATGTATTTTGAGCTGTTAAGATCCTGATGAAAGCCATGTGGTTTGGCTGAAACGTCGATCATATCAAGTTTTAACCTATGGAATAAAGAATAATCTTTTAAAGAGACCAGAAAAGACCGTGAGTGCTTGCCTTTTGTACCTTATATTTTTGTATATTTTTGGCATTGGCTTAATAGCACCAGGCACAATATTATTGGAGAGTGTGTGTGCAAGGATATAACAATATTTTGGACTGTATTTTGGGAGTAACTTGCCAGACTCCAATCCTTTGCACCTACTAAATATATATATTTTTTACCTGCCTAATTTGAAGCAGCAGTAATTCATTGATATTTAATCAGTAAGCGCTTACTATGGATCTAACAGATGAATTTTTATTACAAGCGGGGGGCTATGCTGAACAAGCTGAAACCCTCCAGTTCACTCAGGAGGAGGCACAAGCAATACTTTGGGTGCAATCTAGTACGGATTTGCCATATAATACTACTAGTAAGGATATATACTTTCAACTCTTAAAGCTACAGAGGAAAAGGATTGACCTAGATCTTCACGGATTATTTCTCTCAGACTACTATAAGGCTAAAAGGATCCCACGAGGATTTCGTATCATGAATATCCCTACAATTGGGAGGATGAAAGCCAAAGTTTGCCGAGATTGGATCTCAGTTTTAAACAAAGCATCTCTAGATCTTATGTTGATTATAATTCAGGATGTAAAAATGGAGTTAGAGAATATTACACGGAAAATAACAGAAGTTGAAATGGAACATGCTGTATTATTGGCGTCGCCAGAAGGTATGAAATTGCTGGACAAATTAAAGGAAGAATTATTGAAATATAAAAATGATCTTGTTAGATTTAAAAAGCAAAAACTTGAATATGTCCAACAGGACTACGTAGAGCATCGCGTCTATAAGTGGTTAAGTGGGGAACACCAAAGGAGACCAAGAAGGCCACGCAGGAAAATTATACGCCCAAAGCAACACAAAATAGATGTCACATCGGCTGAATCGGCATCCGATGCAGAGCAACAAAATGATGAAACTTTTTTAGATACAACACAAATGGGCACTATGACGAGAAGCAGAGGCAGAGGCGGCACCGGCACAGGACAAGAAGAGGCCATAAAGGGAAAATACATAGCCCGTGGGAAACCACCACTGAAAAGGTAGTGCCAGTTTTCAATCTCTCTCAACGTAAGCTGGATGAGAAAGAAATAGAGATCCTAAAATTAGGACTCTCATTTGTACCCACGGCTAGACCAAATATATTTGCATGGAACGTAGAATTATTTAATTTTGGAAGAAATCTACGACTTAAAGATTACTTCAATAAAGGGAAAACACAGCAACCAGCAAATCAATACCATAAAGCGACAGAGATTCAATTTAAACCAAAATCATACTTTGATCCACCTAACTCTAAAGCCAACATTAAAACATTTCTATCTACGGTACAAATAGAATCAACGGAAGAATTGAAACAATCTAACCACATGGAAAACAACTTGACCAAAGCACAAAGACACCTTTTGGAAAACCTAGCGAAAGATCCTTCCATCGCAATACGCCCCGCCGATAAAGGCGGGGGTATAGTCATCATGGACTATGATAAATATGCAATGGAAGTAAGAAGACAATTAATGGATGAAAAAACCTATAAGTTACTTAAGGGTGATCCCACTAGAGAGGTACAAAGAAGGGTGGAAGAGATCCTTGATATAGGACTGAGAGCTAATTATATAGATCAAAATCTCTATTTATATTTGATACAAAAGCATCCGAGGACACCTATCATGTACACAATTCCCAAGATACATAAGAATCGAACAGACCCCCCGGGACGACCCATAGTATCAGCAATAGGTGGGGTACTACAACCTATAGGGAAATGGTTAGATGCTATGTTTAAAGACACAATACATGATCTATATACATGCATTAGAGATACACCTTCATTATTGGTGGCACTTCAAAATCTATATATAGAAGAAGATTTACCCGTACTTATTACGATGGACGTCAGTAGCCTCTATACCATCATCCCGCATGATGGTGGTATAGAGGCTATGAGACAAGTCCTATGTGCTTCATTAAAATATAAAGGTCCCCCTATCGAATATACTTTGGAATTATTGGAGGTTGCATTGAAAAATAACTATTTCCGGTTCGAAGAACAGTGGTACATGCAAATATCAGGGACATCTATGGGAGCGGCTATGGCGCCTATGTACGCCAACTCTTATATGTACATCTTTGAGACAGAATATATATTAGAGCCATTTAAAAGGAACATCATAAAGTATTTTCGCTTTATAGATGATATTCTGATAATCTGGCGTGGTACGAAAATGCAAGCGCAAGAAATGGTTGAGTTCATAAATCAGCTTCCAACACCGATACGGATGACGGCCAATTTGAGTACGGAAAGAGTACAATTTTTAGATGTGGAATTATCCGTGGAAGATCACAGAATGGTCTATTGTCTCTACTCTAAACCTACTGATAGAAACACCATATTACACTACAACAGTGCACATCCAAAAAATCTGATCAAGTCTATACCTAAAGCTCAGTTTCTTAGAGTCATGAGAAATAATTCAAAGGAAACAACTAAACGAATACAATTACAAGAAATGAAAATGAAATTTCTAGATAGAGGGTATAGTGAAAGAGTCTTAGATAAAGCGTTGGAAGAAGCAGAAGAGAATGCGACCACGCTACAAGACATCACAGAAGTCCCCAAATTGATTTTTCCCATGACATTCCACAGTAAAACACAGAAAATAAACAGCATTGTGAAACGTAATTGGAATATGTTGGCATGTGATAATAGTTTGCCAAAAGAATTTAAGCAATCACCACGCATTTGCTATCGAAGAAACAGAAATTTAAAAGATATATTAATGAAGACAGATCCTGTGGAGAGCTACACTGAACAGAAGATAACACAAGTAAGAGGCAGTGTGCGCTGCCTAGGATGTGTGACGTGTAGTCATATGGTGCCAGCACGTAAGTTTAACCATCCACACAAAAATAAGATGTATAAAATCCGCCACACCATTACGTGTAAGATGACCCATGTAATATATAAAATATCGTGCCCTTGTGGCTTGTTTTACATAGGGAAAACTGAAACGCAGCTCTGTGATAGAATTAGGGGTCATAGATCCAATATAAGAACTGCCTACAGAGACGGATACACAGACAAACCTGTGGCAAAGCATTTTTTAGAATATAAACATTCTTTGACTATGTTAAAATTCGTGGCAATTGATTGGATACCTTGTTCTAGAAGAGGTGGAGATAGGGGTAATGCCCTATTGAGAAGAGAGACATTCTGGATACAAGAATTGGAAACTGTGGCTCCAAGAGGATTGAACGAGATGATATCATATCATCCATATATATGAGTAATGTTGAAATAATTGTTTGCCTCCTTTGAGTTATTAAATACATATATTTTAACTAGGATTAGAGGAAAAATTTATATCAATAAAAAGGTTATATGGAGATATAATATAACGAATTAAAATATAAAATATAAAATATATAGTTGTAGATCTTATTCTATTTGCACAGATAAAGGACAGTACCTAATTATCAATTATCTATCTTAAATAATACCTCTTTGAGCAAAGAGCATTACTATAATGAATATAACTCATTGATAGGACAAATTAAGTTAATATATAGGTACGATATACAATAGAATTCACAATGACGCTTTATGTAAATAATGTATATATAAGACACTAGCAGATTTATTATCCTTATATTTTTGTACATAATATTATAATATATATTCTTTTGAAAGTATATAATATGTTGGAAGATCACTGAAGTATAGTAATTAGGTAGTTGATAGTAGCAACAAAGAGAGTAATACTTCGGTGACCAATAAATAGTACATAATAATAGCACATGTAGCACTTTGATGTATATAAACTACACGTGTATCACTTTAATAAATTAGTGGCACTTTAAGTAACATGCTAGCACTTTAATGTACATAACACAGCATTTTTAGCACTTTAATGTACATAAACAGCACTAAGTATCACTTTAATATACTATGTCTCACTTTATTTTATAAATGTTAGCACTTTGATACATATAGCACAAGTGTCACTTTAATTTACTATGTTTCACTTTAATATATAAATGTTAGCACTTTATTGTATAGATATGATATATTTAGCACTTTGAGACTATTGAAATATAGTTTATTGTCATTAATTTGTAATTGTAACTGTATAAACATCCAATAAGCGGTGCATGATAGGATGCAGATAAGATCCTAATTGTATAATTACGTCTAGATACTAGATATGGAACAGCCTTTATAATTAATGCAATGTGAGTTATAAATGAATAAGATCCCTCTAAATAGTTAAATATTGTTTGTTTAATATGTTTTTAATGTTTTGATTAGATGCAGAGTTAGTTAGACCGCCTAGGCTGACTGTGAAAAGAGCGAGGATATTGCTCGCTGCGTTGCCGTGGAGCCGGGTACACATACCGGGTATCCACGGCAACGATGACGTCAACACGCTACTTCCGGGTGGCGGGAGGATGACGCATGCGCAGAGACGGCGATAGAACGCCGTGGACGCAGTGCAGTCTCAGGTGGTAAGTGTTTTAATTATTGATTGTATAATTTGTTTTACTATATAAGTGTGTTATTTGTAAGATGTATTTTGAGCTGTTAAGATCCTGATGAAAGCCATGTAGTTTGGCTGAAACGTCGATCACATCAAGTTTTAACCTATGGAATAAAGAATAATCTTTTAAAGAGACCAGAAAAGACCGTGAGTGCTTGCCTTTTGTACCTTATATTTTGTATATTATATATATATATATTATTTCGTTCTACGTGTATTTTTATATAAATATATATATATATTAAT